AGATAGATAGATAGATAGATAGATAGATAGATAGATAGATAGATAGATAGATAGATAGATAGATAGATAGATAGATAGATAGATAGATAGATAGATAGATAGATAGATAGATAGATAGATAGATAATATTAGCAAATTAATCACTTCTCTCACTTGGCAGAGGGCAGGGGAAGTGAAAAAAATGTTTTGTGCTAAATTTAGACTGCAGGCAATTTCTTGACTGTCCCTTTAAGAGAAGGCAAATGAAATATATTTTAATTTTTTAAAATAACTGATGCACTGCATCAGCAATAGTCTAAATATAGCCAAAATATTTTCCCTACTTCCCCTGCCCTGTGCTGAGCAGGGAGAGTGATTAATTTGCCAATATCCTGACGTGACTCACATTAAGCTACTTCACATTATTAATCAGCCTCATCTTAGAACTGCAGAACTGGAAGGGACCCTATGGATCATCAAGTCAAGCCCCTGTCGTGGAGGCACAGTGGGGAACTGAACTCCCAGCCTCTGGTTCTGCAGCCACTAAGCTAAATCACCAAGCTATTCAGCAGTTATTGGCAGGAGCCATTTCCATTTGACTGGTCAAGCTTGATTAGATTGTTCTAATCAAGCCCGACTGTTCCCAAGTGTCGCACATTAGGTCACCCTCTGCTGCTAGTGTGGCCGTACTCTTACGTATTATCACTAAAAATGAACTGAAAACCTGAAAGGAAGCCAGGGAGAAATCTGTCATATTATGCTAGTGAAAAGTTTTGAAAAACAAAATAGCTGCTAGAGAAGGCCACCCCACCCCACTTAGAACCACTAGCAAAATTCGCATTACTTGCACCACAGCAAACTGTTAAAGCACGGTTTATTATGCACAGGCTAAGACTTATTGATAGGGAATACAACAAAATAGCACTTATCTGTTTAAGACAATATATACTTGAATGGCTACTACACTGTGGGGCTTAGTCCATGTCCTCCTGAACTAAATGGGATGTAATAATTGAACTCCAAAAGATTTACAGCAATAGGGTAGTCCTTTAAAAAATCATATGAGAAATTAAAAGTTGAATAACCAGGCCAACCACCTTTTAAGGTGTGTGATCCTTGTTTAAAGGAGATGCCTGAAAGAGTGTTTCAAATGAGAAATTGCACTCTTTAATAGGCTTAAGGGTAAGAACTAGGATCCAGCTTCCCTGAAATACATGATTTCCATCTGATTTCCATCTGCTGGTTCTGCTCCCTAGCGCCACCCAATGCTGAAGAAGAGACCCTACAAGCAATAAGATGCTTGGCCTGCTTGTGGCAGTTAAATGGGAGGCCGGGGGCTTCCTGTCCTGGCATCACTGCTAGTTGAAGGAAGGAAGGAATTAGCAGTGCCAGAACCGATTTCCAGGGATGTTTAAGAACACAACACAGCCCACTTACCGATTCTCTGCTCTTCTGAGTACCCTCCATAATCGGGCACTTCCCTGCGGCCCAAAAGGTAGTCTTGTTTGTACCGCACCCCATTTTCCTCCTCCTCCTCCAAGTGGTATTTTTTAAGTTCCTGAATTATCTCCATGATTAAGTTTAAAAGGTTTTGCCTTTCCTTCAGCCCCGCGCTGGATTCCGTTCTCTCTTTGCAACGCCCGGCGGCCGAAAGCATCACCAGCACCAGCAGCCCGGCCAGCGCAGGAGACCAGAAAAATCCGCGCATGGCACTTGGGTGGTGGGAGGACAAACAGGGGCGCAGGGAAGACGGGGCCACGCTCCTTCCTTTTCCCCCTAAAACGAGAAAGAAAAGAAGAAAATCTGAAAGAGGGGGAGGAGAAAGGGGGAGGGCAGGAGGAAAGCCGCATCAGCTGAACCAGTGGGAAAATTAAATATCCCCGGCTAGTGAGAAAGACCCCTTGCCTTCCCTCTCTCTCCTGGCAGTGACAAGACATTCAGATCCTCAACTGCTCTACAGCGCTCTGGTGGCTGCATAGTCTTTGGTCAAGAAAGAGTTAACGATTTGGGGGCGATCGAACTCCCTCACGAGTTCCACGGAGTTTTCACGGGAATTTGTTAGAACGGAAGATACTGATCAAAAGTTTGACTCACTATCAAGGACGGTATGGGATTAGGTGTAAATCCATTTAAAAGACCGACTAAATACATAACATGGAACGAATTTTGTTTCTTTAAAGTGAAATAAAACTGTTATCCTACAACTGAACTCCAAAAACAACGGGGGGAAACCACGGCAATTCTTGGAATGCAAGAACATTTCAGAGGATCTAGGTTCTGAACAAACATGATCCGAGGGGGGAAAAAAGAAACCCCAAACTTTTCTGATCGGCGCCTTCAGATATAAAACCCCTCGAGAAAACTCGATTTATTCCGCCCAGACTGGAGAGCCGGACTCCCCTGCCACGCGCGCTCCTTTCCCACGAGCGCCAAGGATGCGCCACGAGTCGCAGCCACAGCGGGAACCGAGGCTTCTCCTAGTGGGAGGTGGAGAAGCTCTCATCCCGGTCACCTCGTAGTTAAAAGCACGACGGGCAACTGCCCCTTGCTTCATTTTGCTCCCGAGTTTCCTTACAGCCAAAGCCCATTATGTACATCCCTGGTCAGATACGGAATCCTATACTCGTTCAGCCTATCACAAGCGCCCGTTATGCTCTTGATCACACACTTTGGTGAGTGGCTGGCCTGTGCATGAGTTGCAGAAGTAACTTTTCCCTTGAGAATCTTTTAATTCTCAACTGCCGGCAAAAAGTAGATCTAATGGCAGATCTCTGATGAGCAGTAAGTTCAGGAAGAAACCCCCCCCCCCCACACACACACACACATACTCAAGCTTGAAGTCCGCCTAACTCGGCTGGGCTCTCAAGCGCTCTTTACAGCCTGGGATGTCGGCGGGCGGGCTCGGTGAGGGTTTGGTCTTCCTTCTGAAGGCAAAGTTTTCCCTCGGATCAAGTTTGCTAGTCTTACAAGTCGACTCGAACACTAGGTCCTCTGAAACGTTCTCGCCTCCCCAGAAACCCCGCGCCAGGCTGGTAGGTTCCTGCCCGGTGATGAGACCTCTTTTCCTTCCTGCCTGCGGAGAGCTGCGCTTCCATCGGGACTCTCGAGAGCCCCATCTCACCTACCCCAGTTCACGCGCGTTAGCGACTAAGCCCGACAGCGCTCCGCCCGTCTCACGTTAAACGTGAAAAATCCGGCAGAGGCTGGAGATCTCCGCTGCACAGATCCGTGGGAGCGCCAGCGCTGAGCCACAGCTTTCTCCCTTTCCCCTGCTCGCCCAGCGCCCGCCCCCCCAGACCCTGTTT